GGGGGGGGGGGGGGGGGGGGGGGGGGGGGGGGGGGGGGCAGAGGAAGCGTCATTTCCTCTCCCCGTGATGCGGCAACTTCTCCTTTTTGATTCTTGCCGGAAACATATTTTTATCTGGCACCAGGTTGCCCCCCTCCCCCTTCCGCCCCAGCTGCGGTTTGACCCCCCCCCCGGGCCTGTCAGAGCCGCCCCAGCAAACCCCCCCACGCCGGGGCGATGGTTCTGCTCCTGGGCCGGGGGGCTGGAGAACCGGGGGCCGATTCCCCCAGCTCCCCTTCGCAGCAGCCCCCTCGTGCCTGCCCTGGGGGCTCTTTTCGCGCCCGCTTTGCCCTGGCCGCCCAGACAGCAGCGGGACGGGGGGAAGCTGAGCCCGGACGCCCCCAAAATCCCCCCAGGCCAAGATTTTCCCAAGCGGGCCGGTCCTCAGGGAACCAAGGCTCGGCGCTGGCCTGGGAGCGGGCTCGGGCCGGGCACAGCAAAGCTCCGCTCAGCTGCTGGTTCTGGGCCCGGTCCCAGCGCCAGGGCCAGCGCCGAGACCGGCCCCGAACGGGAACCTGCGCGCAAACCCCGCCGGGCGGCACGGCACCGGAACCAAGTTTTTTGCATTGGAATTTCCTTGGTTTTTCCTGAGGCCGGCGCCTCGCTCTTGGGGGGGCCGATCGCCGGCCGATCGCCAAGCACGTCCTGCCCCGTTATTTACCCTAGCCAGAGCCCGAGGCGCACGGCTGGGCGGGGGGCGGGGGCCGTGGGGCTGCGGCGCGCAGGGCTGTGGGTGTCTGGCTGGCGACGCTGCAGCGGAAGCGGGAGGAAGGCCTATTTTGAGCTGTGGAATAATTGTGGTTGCTGTTTATTTTCCTAGGGCGAGTTTAGCTTCCCCGCCGCGCACGGCACCACACGCCGCCCACCCGCGGTTGCTGCTCACACACTCGGTGACCGTCTGGAACGCGGCCCGGCCCCCAGCTGGGCCAGGGAGCGGAGCCGGCCAGCTCCCGGCGCAGGCTCGGCCGGAACAGGCCCCGTTATTGTCTTTAATCTCAATACCTTGCGGCGGGGGGGGGCTTGGGGGGGGGAGCTCGTTAACCAAACGCTCGCTCACCTCCTGCTGTCGGCGGGACGAGTTTGTGGGGTCTCAGTCGGGTGACGCCGGCTGGACCCCCGTGGGAGGGAGCCCGTGTGCTCTTCACCCCCCCAGCTCTGCGGAGGCCCCTGGGGGGTGGGAGGTTGGGGAGCCCCCGGCCGAGCTGCTGTTTACACAGGCTCCAGTCCCCCCCCCGTGTTTATGGGCCCTAGAGGCCTTTCCCCTGGGGGGGGAGGGTTGGATCCCCAGCTTTCCCCCCACTCGGTCAGCCCCCCTCCCCCCCCGCCCAGCCTCGAGTGCCTGACCCCGGGGCAGGGGCAGCCCAGCACACAGGGCACATGGGGGCTCTAGGGAAAGGGGAGGGGTCAGCTGGGAGTTCCCCTCCCCCCACATTTCTGTGTCTGCCCCCCCATGTACCCTCCCCCCCCCCGGCCCAAGCTATCGCCTTCCCCAGTCTCCATGTTCTTCATGTTCTATCCCTGGCTCCAGTAGGGGGGTGGGGGGCAGGGCTGGGAGTCAGGACTCCTGGGTTCTTTCCCTGGTTCTGGGCAGGGCTGGGAGCATCACATCGCTGGTTTGGGGTGGGGCTGTCGCTCTGGTTCTCCCTCCCTCCAGACCCTGCTCAGCCCCCCTGTAGCCCGGGACGCCAGCCAGGGAGGGTAGGGGTGTGAACAGGCCTGTGCCATCCGTGACCCAAATGCCAAAACCCCTGGGCCACACGCATGGGTTTCCCCTGAGCTGGCTGGGACCCAGCGTCTCACCAGGGGGGCAGCCCCATGTGCAAGATGAGTTTGGTGCCATGTGCGAGATGAGTTTGGCAGGTCTCAGCCCAGCTGCTGGGGGAGTGAGACCTACAGGTAACCTGAGCAGAGAGACCAAGGCTGGTATTTGGGGGGCTCCGGGGTGGGGCAGCTGGGGGCTCAGGGCTTGGGATCGGGGCAGGATGGCTCGGGCAGGGGGGAGACAGGATGGGGATTTGGGCTGGAATTCAGGAATTTGGAGTTTGGGTGGCTCAGAATTTGGGAGTCAAGCTTAGCCTCCTGCCTCCCCCTAGCTGCACACATTGACTGGGGGGGGCTTCATGGGCCCAGGCCCCCCTCCCAGTGGGATGGTAACTGTGTGTGGGGGGCAGTCCTGACTGATGTGACACCCCCCCATCCCCCCTCCGATCTGGGGAGGTGCTGAGCTTGTCAGTTTCACTTCCCTCCCCCGCACTTGACATAGAAAAGGGGAAACTTCATGTGACCTTTTATAGCACGTGGACAACACGCCCTGCGGCCAGCCGGGGCTGCGGGTCGGGAGTGAGGGGCACCGGCAGGGCTGGCAGGGGCTGCGGGTCGGGAGCGAGGGGCACCGGCAGAACAGGGGAGGGGGCACACTCCCATGCCCCCTCCTAGGTCCCGGCACCCAGGCCAGGACTCTCCCCCGTCCCCAGGTTCCTGTGGTGGGCACCGGGGGGGGGGGGGCGGGTGCCGGGCCAGGCTCTGGCACCGACCTGCAGCAGCAGGAGAATCAAGCCCTTGTGTGTGTCTGGCCCGTCCTGCAGCGCGGGGGGCGCAGGCGTTTGCAATCCTAGGAACCAAATTTGGGCCCAGAGCGAGACGGGACCCGAGCGAGGCCCAGACCCCCCCTGGTTACAGCCAGGCCCCGACCCCCAGCCACCGGCCAGACATGTGTCCCATCCCCCTCCCGTACCCATCTATTCCCTTACACCCCCCCATCCCCATACACCCCCGGGACGGGGGCAGGGGTCCCCCAGCAGGGTGGGTGGACACGGCCCAGGGGGTGTTATGCTGGGTACACTGCCCCCCCCGGCTCTGCTGGTGCCCCTCACTCCTGACCCGCAGCCCCTGGTAGCCTAGCCCAGCCCTGCCCTCTCCCCCCGCCCGGGGGCTGATGTCCCAAGCCCTCACCAGGGCCAACCTGAGCCCTTGACTGGTGGGAGGTCGGGGGGCCGCCCTGAGCTGACTCCTTTTTGCCTGGAAAGCTGCAAGAAGGTCCCTGGATAACCAGCCCCCCGGCGGAGGCGGCTGCCTGTCAGCGCCGAGCGTGGGCAGCAGGATTAGCAAACAGGACGCCCGAGGGGCCCAGCCTGCGTCGCGGCCACAGGCCTGGCCGGGAACGTGACAATTTCCTGAGCAAGTCGTAAACATTTCCCCTTGCGTCAGGCTCCCAGCTGGGGGCTGTAGGGCCTGGGGGAGGGGGGCTGGGACGCCCCCCAGGGGCTGCACGTGCAGGGCTCCCTCGCCCAGGTGTCCAGATGCAGCCACCTCTGGGGTGGGGCTCAGGAGCCCAGCAATGGGGGGGGGGGAGGGGCGCGGAATCCAGCTCTGAGGGGCAGCGGGGGAGGAGATGGCAGGAGGCGGAGTCACACCCAGGGGGTGGAGCTATGCAGTCTGCCACGTGCCCCCACCCACCCAAGGTGGTAGAGCAGAAGGTCAGCTCCCCTATTGAGGCGGCGGGGTTCGGGGTCAGGAGGCGGGGCCATGTGGTGGGTGGGAGGAGTCAGATCAAATGGGCGGGGTCACCGTACACCCAGGGTCCGCCCCCTGCGGCTGCCAAGCCAATGCCCAATCAAGGGCAGAACAGAAAGCAGGACCTGCTAGTGAGGAGGCGGAGCCATGTTGCACAAGGGGGGCGGGGCCAAACATAGCCACACCCATTCCCACAGTATTCAGTCTACACAGGCACCGCCCCTCGACGTGTCATCCAATGGCCTTTGATGCAGGCTGCCATGGCACCCCCTGGCCCTGCCCCTCGGTCCTGCATTAAAGCGACGGCGCGAACCATTAATCCAGCGGGGGGGGGGGGGGGGGAATCTCATTTTTTGTAACTCAAGCCCCCCCCCGCGGATTTCCGATCGAACCAACAACAAAACGAAACCTCGTTAAATAATTCTCTTTTTCTTTTTTAAATTACAAATAATTCAAAATTTTCACCCAAACACACCAAGGAAATGTACAAAAAAAAATTAATAATAATAATAATAATAATAATAAAAACTCCAACGCGTCCCAACCCCCCTATTTCACCCCCCTCCCCGTTCCTGGGGGGGGTGAGTCCGTGTGTCCCGGGCGATCAGCTGCACTTGCAGGAGCTGACGATCATGTTGGAGAGCTGCTCCACCTTCGGCTTCCGCCCCACGTAGTAGACGATGGGCAGGGGCGCCAGGACCTGGGGGACGCAGCAGGGCGCGGCCGAGGCGCTCGGGTTGTGCTGGTTGTACAAGGCCAGGACCTGCGGAGAAACAGCCCCGGTCGGTATCTGTCCGGGGACAGGTGGGGAGCGGGAGACGGGGCCTGTCCCCCCGAGGGAGGGAGGGGCCGGGCGAGCGGCGCTGGATGCAGAGAGGCAGGTGCCCCTGGGGGCTGGGCTATGGCTCAGCCCCTCCCCGCCTGGCACAGGGGGCGTCTCCCCCAGGCGCCGAGCCAGCCTGGGTGGGGCTGGAGGGTGCCGAGGCGCTGGGATCCTGGGGAGGCCGATCCCACGCCGGGCTGGGGGAACGGGGCAGGGGTAGGTTGGGGGCAGCCGGCAGCTTGGGGTGACCTAGGAAGGTCCGGCTAGCCCCAGAACCCCCAAGGTCCACACTGGGCCAATCAGCTCTGGAGTCCAGTTCCGGACCAGGCTACCCTGTGTGCCAACCCTCGGTGCCCCCCCCCCGCTCTAACCACTAGCCCCCACTCCCCTCCCAGAGCCCAGGAGAGAACCCAGGAGTCCCGGCTCCCAGCACCCCCCCGCTCTAACCACTAGCCCCCCTCCCCTCCCCGAGCTGGGGACAGACCCAGGCGTCCGGGCTCCCAGCCCCCGCTCCCACCTTGCTGTACTGGGTGTCGGCGCTCCAGACGTAGGGGCAGGGGCCCATGCAGAAGTTGGCCATGTAGCCCTTGGGCTCGTAGATCCACTTCCAGTGCAGGTCCTTGCGGAAGTCGATGAAAAGGGGCCGCACGCAGCAATTCTTCTCCTCCGTCCTGTGGGCAGAGCCATCAGGGCACCGGGACCACAGCCAGCCCAGGCAGGCAGCCAGAGCTGGGGAGAACCCAGGAGTCCTGGCTCCCAGCCCCCCCGCTCTAACCCACCAGCCCCCACTCTCCTCCCAGAGCCAGGAGAGAACCCAGGAGTCCTGGTTCCCAGCCCCCCTGCTCTAACCCACCAGCCCCCACTCCCCTCCCAGAGCTGCCCCCCACAACGATACCCCCAGGCAGGCAGCATCCCCTCCCCTCGGCCGGGCCGCAGCTCACCCGAAGCAGTAGTCGGTGTCCAGCGCCCGGCGCCGGCGCGAGCTCTGCAGGTGGCTGGCGCGCTCCAGGGGCGTGGACATCACCAGCACGTAGGGCAGCTTCTGGACCGTGGAGGAGACGGTGCCCAGGTCCCCCCGCTTCTTCTCGAAGCCTTCAGGGAGCAGACACCCCGTTAGCGGCGTGGGCACTGGCTGGGCACACCGGGGGGGGGGGGGCAGGGAGAGGACAGACCCTTCGGTCCAGCCACGGAGCCTGGCAGTGGGCAGGCGCGTCCTGGCCAGAGACTGGAACGCGCCAGTCAGGGCCTCCGGACAATGCCCAGGGACCAAGGGCCACAGGGGCAGGGGAGGGGGCGTCCGCACGACCCACCCTGTGCAGGAGGAAACCGAGGCACACAGGGAGATGCCTGGCTCCCCTCTCCCACTCTAACCACCAGCCCCCACTCCCCTCCCAGAGCCGGGAGAGAACCCAGGCGTCCTACCATCTATGTTCACTATCACTTCCTCGCAGGTGTCCTCACAGGAGCAGTGAACACGGAGTTTAAAGATCTCCAGAGTCTCTGAAACAGGCAAACAGGGAGTGAGAAGGGGGCACCTGGCGGGGCCCTGCTGGTGAGATTCCCGGCAGCACAACCAGTCCTCAGCGCTTTGCCTCCGTGCACAAACCAGGAAATCCCCACCCCCCTCACAGGGCTGGGGAGAGAACCCAGGAGTCCGGGCTCCCAGCCCCCCCCGCTCTAAGCAGCAGACCCCACTGCACAGTGGCTGTTCTCTGCCCCCAGCACAAGTTCGAGCAGCCCGAAGGCAGCTCTAAGTGACACTGGGGCACAGCGGGGGCAGGTAACCCCCCAGCGCAGGGACGGGGGGCTGGAGGAGACGGGGCAGGACAGGACACTGTGCTGGGTGCAGGCCGCGGAGGCCCCGGGGGGAGCTGGGTGCCCAAGGAGCAGCAGGGGCCACGGTGTGCCCCGGATCGGGGCCCCCCTCACCTTGGCCACTCAGCCACTGGCGAACCACCTCGGTGACGTCGAAGGCCAGCCACTCCTCGGGCGCCTGCCCCACGGCGCGACTGTCCAGGTAGCGCCAGGACCCGTTCCCGTAGTGCTGGGGGGAGACGGGGGTGAGCCAGTGTGCTGGGGGTGAGACGCCCTGCCTATCCCCAGCCTGTCCCACAGAGCCCCGCCCACAACCCCAGCCTGCCCCACAAGCCCCACACACCCCCAGCCTGTCCCTATGCTCCACCCACAATCCATTATGCTCATCCCATCTGCTCTAGCCCCACCCCCTATTCTGTGCCCCCACCCACAGTTCACTGTGCTCCACCCCATCTCCCCTAGCCCCCCTACCACCCACTGCCCACCTCACCTCCTGTAGCCCCACCCTCTCTGGTCTAGCCCCGCCCTTATCATGTAGCCCCACCCTTATCATGTAGCCCCGCCCTCTTTGGTCTAGCCCCACCAACAACCCTCGCTGCCTCCCCCGCCCTGGGGACCCAGCGCACCTGGTACAGCTCCACCCGCTGCTCCATGCCCGGCTTCGGCAGCATGCGCAGCTCGGCCCGGTGCAGTAGGGCCTCGCTGCTGATCTGCGCCCGCACCTGCGAGGCATTGAACAGGAAGAAGGTGCTTTGGCTGGTCTTCTTCCAGGTCGTGTACCTGGCTGCAGGGAGACAGGGCATGAGCAAGCAGCGCGATGCCCCTCACTCCCGACCCCCAGTCCTGGGCTCGGAGGAACAAACGAAAGGGGCAAACCCTGGCGGTGGCTCTGAGCAGCTCGGCACCAGTCAGACAAGTTCCCAGGGGAGGAAACGCCAAGAAACGTCTGGGATCGTGTCAGCCTGAAACTGACACATCCCCAGCCGGCTGAAAGCTGGGGCCCGATCCCGACCACCCCGTCCAGTGGAGCCAGGCCCACCCCAGAGGTGGCCGCATCTCTGCACCGGGTGAAGGGTCCCTGTATAAACTGCTCCCGTGCCCCACCCCAGAGGTGGCCGCATCTCCGGGCCCTGTGTGTCTAGTTACTGGCACCCTGTGCCTGGAGCAGGGAGTAGGTCTCGGGGGCCCGCAGTTCCCAGATCATTCCAGCTCCGGTCTCAGCCCTGCGGCTCCAGCTGCATTATTCAGAGGCCAGACTCCAGCTCCTCCGGCTCCAGTCCCCTTTGCTCGGAGGTGGCTGGGTGATCTGGCCTCAGGGCCAGCCCTGGGAGGGGCTGCAGCCACCCGACCAATCCGCTTTGAGTCCCGTGGGAGGAGGCGGGGTTAATTGCCCGTTCTGGCCATGCCCACCACACCAGCCCGTGGGAAGTGTTAACTCTGGAGCGGATCGGTGGGGATAACCCCCCACATGACGCCTCATTACCACAGAGCACTAATCACCCCAGCGCTACGTGGCACGAACCCCCCGTGGCTGATGGGACATGCCGGACACCCCGGAACGGCCGGCTGGCGGCTCTCGGGCAGTTTCTTGCTTTCTGCCCGGATGGCGGGTTTTCAGCCAATCAATGAAATCAAAATACAGTGGGGAGGGGAAACCCCCCCAGCCAGAAACGGGGCCGCAGGACATACACCCCCCCCATGGGGTCAGGGCCTTGCAGGGATCCCAGAGGGAATGTAACATGGGGGGGGCTATTTTAAGCACCTGTTCATGATCCCCCCCAGCCATGTGCTCTGCTCCCTGCCCCCCTTATATTCCCCTCCCCCAAGCTTGTGCCTGTCCCGCCCCATACACAGCCCCCCGCCCACTCCAGGCCTCCCTCTGCCCCACCTCCCCTTCCCTTTGCCTCTCCCCATCTACATCCCCCGCCATGCTCTGCCCCCCCAGACGCCCCCTGGATTTGTGCCATGTTTCCTGCCCCCCCACATATGCAAACCCCACCCCCACCCCTCCCCCCAGTCTCGTCCCAGGCTCCCCCGGCCAGTGGCCCAGGCGCTATTTTTACAGCAGGAAGAGGCTATTTTAAGCCATTTTCCCTGTGGATCAAAGGGGCTTTTGACTCCGTCCATTCCCCACCCCCCACCCCCAGGTCTGGCCAGGCCAATCCTGGCGACACCTCCGAGGCCCAAACAAACCGCACTGGGGGGGGGGG